AAAAAAAAAAAAAAAAAAAGTATATGATTCTCCAGTGCAGTTTCTTTACAAGAGTGTGTTTCAAGTGGAAGTGTAGAAATGGAGCATGCTTATGTTTATATTGAGGAGATTAGATAAACTAGCCTGTTTAGGGTTCTGGCAGATGGCGAATGCTCAAGCCAATTTGTAGTGCTCCATTATAATATTTAAATTCACACACAATGATAGGACAAGGGTGAAGGGGGTTAGCATTTTGATAATTTGATAACTATTATCTTCCCTAAGAAGAATCTCCTTTTGCTTTTGTGGCCCAAAAAACAAACTCCAGTAAATATGACAACCCATTTATCTTGCACCCGTTAGGGTTTACCACTTCATTGGGTATTATAATTTAAAGCCTTTTATTTCCTGGAGATTTGAGCTATAACATTTTTACTTTAGCCCCCTGCTATTTGTTTTGAAAGGAAGCAATAATTTGTGCAACCAGAACACCAACTGGGAAATGAAGAGTTGTATCACATAGTTACATTTTATTCATGCGTTTTGGGAGATGTGTCTCCTTATTGTATTTTTTTTTAATATATATATTAGCTTGTTTTCCTGACAAAACTTTAACATAGCTTTATAGCTTAATCAAACTACTGTTTATGTATACTTAGATTCACATTGTGCTGGGTTGTAGCAAGGAGAAATCCACTTTTATTCATAAAGAAGGAAGAGTCTTAAAAAATTATTCATATATAGATGCAAGAGTATAAAGTGAACTATCTTTTGTGAGCGTCTACCTGAAAATTTAATAGTTCAAGAATGCAAATTTGTCCAATTTGGCTCTCCAGGTTTATTTTTTCATTTGCTTTGATATGCATATTTAATATATAGCCTGAGGCGAGATCTCATTTGGTGAAAGTTGGTGCAGGGGTGATGATGAGCCACTTCAGAAGGACAGAGACAGCATGTTGTTTCCTCTGTTTTATGTATTGGCCCACTATTCTGATCCACGGATCTTCCCCTCATGGTTTTATTTGCACATGAAATACCAGGAGCATTTCAACTGATTGGCTATGAATAATGACAGCCAAAAAAGAAGTGTAGTTTAATTTGTTGTGTGCCAAGGTTTCTCTTGTGGAGGCGACAGTTTGTGACAGCTGTTTGACACCCCCAAAATCTGTACACCTCTATTCTTATTAAGTGGTATCAAGCTGCACTCTGTGTGTGTGTGTGTTTGTGTAAAAGACGTGTGGTTTATGTGCATGTGTGGGGTGATGGTGGTGACAGTGGCAGCGGTGAAGTGAGGACTAATGCAGCCCTCTAATGCCATTTTATTCCTTTGCTAGACCTGAAAATGTAGCTCAAGGGAAAGCAACAGAACGAAACGTGGGATTAGCCAATATTTACCATGAGACTTTTAAAGTGGGATATTCAGATACTGCTTGTTTCCTTTTTCAAAACCTACTGCTGTAATATTTATATAACTTAATTGAAAAGCAAAAACAGTAGCAACAAAGAAATGAATGAGCCCCTTAAAGATCTACCTGTACTGTGGAAGGAGACAGCTGTAAGCAGTTGGGCTATATGTGTTTGGTAGTAAATGCATATGTTGAATTTTATTCTGGCGCACTATTAACTGTTATGTAATACAGTAACTGCAAAGGGGCAAGGGACCTGGTAAATCGAATAGTGCGGTGCAGACCACAAGAAGCTGCAACTTTTGTTATTGTTCTGCTGTGTTTAGTAAATATAACAGTCCATAATTAGTGTTTGAATTTTTAACGCCCTCATATTTTTTTTATTGCTCTGAGGTATTAGCTGTAGATGGGAAGAAGGTAACTACTGCTGTGGCCTGGCTGAAACAGATCAGTTAAGGGGGGAAAAGAGAGAAAGAAAGAAAGAAAGAAAGAAATCTTTCCAGCTGCAGTTCAACTTGAGTTTCCCAGCACCGAGAATTTATTATTGTTCAATATAAACATGCTGTGCCCTATCCTGTATACCAGTTCAGGCTGCCCACAGATCTTTCTTTTTTTTTTTTTTTTTTCTTTTTTTTTCCCTTTCTTTCTAACTATACAAACCTGCAAACCGTAATACCCATAAAATCTGGAGTTTTGAAACTCTTTTTTCAAGCATATGGCAGCATTCTCCACTTTATTTACGTTCCTTTCATATGTGGCTTCACCTGATGCCACACAGATCTTCCTTTAGCATAAACCTACTTTGAAGCTTGGTACTTCTCCCACGTAAATTTATCGATCTCTTTCACTGGCTTTTATGGGGGCAGGATCAGGAACGTGGTCTCCTTTATATATGTTTATATGCTAAAGTCAATTTGCAGCTGAGAGGTAATACTATACAGATCATCATTCGTAAAATATAATTAAAAATGGCTAGAAAAATACATACATCTCTTTTTTATAAAAGGACTGTTGACAGATTAGAAATCTGATGCCTTAGCTGTAGAAGAGAAATATTAGTTTGAATATTAAACCTTTCAGCTCTCAACTGAGGAGATATTAGATAGAGGGTTTTTTTGTACTTTTGGACATCAAGATATTTTACATCTTTAATATTCCTTATTGAAGACTGATCTATGCAAATTCTTGATGTCCTGAAGATGAGAAAATAATACAAGTAGGGTGCTATATATCTCTCCCAATTATATAATTAAACTTTTTGGCAAGATTTCGCTGACTAATGAGGAAGTGATTGCTGGCCCGCTGCTGCATTCTCTAGGTAGTCCATACTTTTAAGGGTTTTGGTGGGTGTCCTGAGTGTGCTAGATATGCAGTACTGGGCTCCAAGTGTGCTTTCTCATTTTCAATATGACAGAATATGAGAATAGGAATGAAGTAGCTAAGTGAAGCAAGAATAAGGCAACTTTTTTTTTTTTTTTTTTTTTCCCAAGGAACACCAGGAACTTTCTGGTACTGTGGAGAGTATTGCATATTCTGTATTTCTGATGTGGGCTGCTGATATAAGTCACTGTACAGTGCAAATTCAACTGTTTTGATTTTAATCTGAGTTCCCCCAATCTGAAATAGTAATGCCTTTTACTGTCTATTTGATGTTGGTGTTTCCTCTTTGGTTCAAGCTGCCTATCATCCTAGAAAAAGTGTAGCCACATAAAATGAATTAGAAGGAGAATAAAAAGAAAAACAACAAACATTCAAATTTTCAGGTCTCAGTTCTTTAGTGACAGGTGGCTTACATGTCTGATATCAATTTTAATTGAAAAATACAAAGCACATACCTTTAAAAATGTTGCCACATTCTAGGAGTGTCAAAAATTTCTCTTGACACTTCTCTCAAATACAAAGCCTAGGGATATGAATGTCAGAATTAAAATTAGGTATATTTGTAAATATGTAAAAAAGTACACAAATACCTGATAGATCA